AATATTTGATTTTTGGGGCTTTGAAACAAATTTTCCTCCTTTTTCTCCTCTAAAAAAACGAAACAGCATAAACATTGAAACGCATGGAGAAATTGTCTCTTGCAATTCAGGGGCCGTTTGGTTGCTCATGGTAAACTTGTGTATTTATGAAACAAGCTAGAAAATTAATGTCTACCTCATCATTTTTTACTTTCACATGTTTCTTTGTTTGGTTTGGATTTCGATTGCAATCATAAAAATGCTTGTTTGGTTTACATAATGAAATTTCACAAAGTGCTAGTTATGTAGACCCCATCCAAAGATCATATTATCATAATAAAGTTGCCTCTAACTCAATTGATATCCTCACTCTTTAAATAGGCCCCCACTCTTTTTAATAATACTAGTATCGTGTACGTGCATTGCACGTAAGCACACTTGTTGATTAATTTTTTAGAATTCTATTGGTTCTATTAGGTTAGAAAGTGAATAGTTATTTAGATATTATAGTAATTAATAAAGAATTGATATTCATTCAATAAAATGAGACTTAATGCATAAAGATTAGATGAGTATATTTATAGGAGGTCATGAATAAGTTATTTTTATCGAAAACAATAATTCTCTGTATAGAAAATTAGCTTACACATGTTCTTATTATAAAATATAAACTACTTGTAAAGCAAGAAGCTCAAGTACATTTACATGAGAGAGATATGTCATTTTGAAATTATCTTTCTAGAAATTATTAAACCTCTTCTAGTTTATTATTAGCTCTTAGAGTCCCCCAATTTATATTTGATACTTGCAATTTATATCTCTAAAACTGCATTTCAAGAGTATTTAGTGCTAGTATATTGAGGAGGATTTAGTGCAACTCAAAATATAGAAGAAGGAATTATGTGTAATTTTCCCTATTTGTTATAATAATGCAATTTACAGATGGTCAATAGAGAAATGAGTAACCATTCATGAATGAGTTCCTTATTAAAGGGGGGTTAAGAAGATAGTGGAATAATGAAAAGTTGACGACTTTTCATATTACTGTAATGTTATGTTATATATTTATTTATTTGAATTGGTAAATAAATAACTTTTTACTCATATTATATTTGATAATTTCCCATATTTAATAATTCATATAAATATTATATATTAGTATGATATCAATATATATTATAATTATCATACATTAACTATTATACTCAAATAGTAGATTAATAGCAGAAAATTCATAATACTCTTAAAATTGTAGTAGTAATCCATTCTATAAGCATCCTCAGGACCAACTAACTATATCATTTTCTAAATTGATCTTCCTGCACTTTCTATTTGTCCTTTATAACCCAATAATATTAATGTATTACCTTAGTGACCATAGAACGAAAATTAACCCTTTACACATATAGAGTGAAAGCAATTATGCTTATAATGCATTGTCATGGACAAAGCTTTCTTTATCCCGAGAATAAGCATAATGCATTAAGAGATTCATCATGGACAAAGCTTTCTTTATCCCGAGAATAAGCATAATGCATTAAGAGATTCAACCAAACTATACAAATAATTTAGCATATTTACAAACATGCCTAGGAGTTGGAAACCAATTTACATGCTAAGGCAAAAACATATACGAAGATGAAAGGGGGAAAACCAATTAGTTTATGATTGAAATAGCTGCAGATTTTGATAAAATACAGGACCACCTTCTTTGTTGCCTTCATCGGTTTTTTCTCTGCTCTCTAAATTGTTACACCGATGCTTCCATTACCATCTCCTCATTCAATTCGATTGTACTCCACCAGTGATGTTACCATTGACACACTCACACTTCTTGCGGTTTGTAAGTATTGTAGTTGTGTCTCCTTACTTTTCAATATGAAGAATTTTTGATTAAAATTTAGAATTTTGGTTAGAGAAATTTGATAAGATTCTATCGTAATTTATGAAAGATGAATAGTTGTAACGTTTTTCATTATTAGTGTGCAATGTCAAGACTTAGTGGGAGAATGTTATTAGTGAGTGGTTAAATGAAAATTTAATGCTAATAAATAGGGAGGTTATGAAAAATTAAGTATGTATATATATCTTAACGTATGGATATGCTAGAGATGTATGCATGTATGTGTTTCGGAGGGTATTTTTCAAAGAGATGTTTTAAGGGTTTTGTTTGGTTGATTTCCTAAAAACCAAGAAATGGAAATGAAAAGATGAAAATATCAAAAAGTACAATTTCATCTATTTCCATCCCTAAAATTCACCTACAACATCCAATAAAATATTATTTTCATCTAACAACTCATCCACAACATCTAATAAAATATTATTTTCATCCAACAACTCATCCACCACATCTAATAAAATATTATTTTCATCCACAACATTACTCAACCTATCTTATCTCATCATTTCAAATCACTCACATCATCCAATAAGATGGTGACAACTCATCATATTTCATTAACATTTTATTTCCAACTATTTCCTCCCCAAAAGTTAGGAAAACGATTTCCTTAAGTGTGGGTCACATCATCCAATAATATAATGATAACTCATCTCATCTCATGTATTTTCTTATTTTTAAAAATGAAGCAAACAAAAGAAAATAACCTATTACAAGAAATAAGTTTCTAATAATTCATTTCCTTAATTTTTTTCGCCAACCAAACAATATCAAAACAAGTTTTCTTAAAAAATCACTCACATCATCCTATAATACCAACCAAACAATATCAAAACAAGTTTTCTTAAAAAATCACTCACATCATCCTATAATAAGGTGACAACTAACATCATCTCATCTCCATTTCTTCACATCATCCTATAATAAGGTGACAACTAACATCATCTCATCTCCATTTCTTTGATTTCCTTCTTTTTTAGCCAACCAAACATTCCTAAAATAATTTTTCTTAGAAATAGTTTTTCATTTCTTCGATTTCCCTTTTTCTTAGGGCTTGTTTGGATTGAGGGGAATAAGAGTGAAGGAAAGTTAGGGGAACCATTCATCTTGTTTGGGAACATTTAGGAGGTGAAGTTATTCACCCTAGTTTCCATTGATTCACCCCCTAATAGTATAAAATTTGTTACCCCCAAATTGGGGTGTAACCAAGAAGAAAGGAACTCCCTTCCATTCTCTCACCTAGTTTCCCTTAACTTCCCTTCACCCCCTACAAATCCAAACAGGTTCTAAGGGAAACTAAGTGAGAGAATGGAAGGAAAGGGAAGTGAGTTCCCTTCCCCTTGGTTACACCCTAATTTGGGGGTAACAAATTTTATACTATTAGAGGGTGAACCAAAGGGAACTAGGGTGAATAACTTCACCTCCTAAATGTTCCCAAACAAGATGAATGGAGATGAATGGTTCCCCTAACTTTCCTTTACCCTTATTCCCCTCAATCCAAACAAGTCCTTAATTTCCCTAAGCCCCATTGGAATCCAAACACATCCTGAGGCAAACAAACAGCCCGCAACACACTTTTTTTGTAATAGTATATTAGATAAACAGTCTTTCCCCTAGTCCCCAAAGCCGGCCACCCTCTCGATTCCTCCGCGCTCTCTCTCTCCCCCCTCCCCAATCCTCTCTCATGGCTTCTCTCTCCTCAGCTCCGCTTTCTCTCCCCAAGGGACCCTCTCTCCTTCTTCAACCCCACATCCTCCTCACACAAAAACCTCCTCTCCGCTTTCTCCCCGGTCTGCTTTGATCGAACCCTCTCCCAGTTATGTCCTCCCATCGCCAATCGGAAAAATCCGCAACAATCAGCCGCCAGCAAACCCAGCCCTACCCCAAAACTCCAGGCGAAATCGGGTCGCCCTCTCTCAGTCGTACGTTTCGACCAGAAGAGCGCCCCACAAATCAACGTCTAGCTGAGCGTTACCTCCTCACCAACTAGCCGGACTACGAGTACTCCGGCTCGAGAGCAGCCACTACGCCCCCGGCCTGACCACGCAGTAGCGAGAACACGCACTTCACAGACCGGAACCGCCTACGGGTCCGCGGTGTGTTTCTCGGGTCTGGGTGCCCGCCGCCTACACACAGCGGACCGAGTGGTGGGTACACCCAGCCTCCATTAGGTCCGCTTCGACGCAGACTGACTGGGCCAGGGTGGTCCGTTGCGCTTATCCTCGCCTGACGGCAACGGTCGGGGCCCTCCCTGGTCTACGAGCGCATGACCGGGGTTAGCCGCCGGAGGTGACGTCGCGGCGGCTCTTCGAGTAGCGACGCGAGTTCTGTGGCAGGGCTCACGTGGGGCTCCGAGGCACGGACCTGTCGCTTCCGGAGGAACAGACGAGGTTTCTGATACATCCCGATGTTGAAGCGCTTAGTTCAGCGGAAGAAAGAGCGGCTGAGGCTTGCGGGCTTTGGCCCGTCTGGATGGCCAAGATGGGGTTCTGAGGGAGGGAGAGGCGGTTTAGGCGGGGACAATGGTGGGTTTGAAGGAAATTTGAATTAGACGGCGTTTCGGTTGCGGATGGCGAGGAAAATCGAAGAAGAAAATGAGATTTTGTGAGCGGGAAAGGCGGCGAGGGGCGGTCGGAGTCCCGGGGCGGGGTGGAAGAAAGGAGCCGGTGAGGGAGGCAGATTAGGCTTTCTCTCTCCTCACCCTCCGCTTCTTCTCCCAAACCCTCCTCTCCTTCTTCAAACCCTCATCCTCCTCCACAAAACCCTCCTCTCCTTCTCCTCCCCGGTCTCCTTCCAACCCTCTCCCAGTATCCCCTCCCCATCGTCCCCCCCCAATCGAAAATCCCAACAATCCAGCCCCAGCAACCCCAGCCCTACCCCAAACCTCCAGCGAATCGTCGCCCTCTTCCAGTCCGCTACCGACCCAAATCCAAGCTACCAGCACCTCCACTACGGAGCCCAGCTCCCCCCTACCCTCCCCACTTCCAGACCGAACGCCTACCGGTCGCGGTGTGTTTCTCGGTCTGGGTCCGCGCCATACCCGGACCCAGACGACCCCAAGGTCCGCTTCGACCCGACTCCGATTCCGCCCTGACCAGGGCTCGCCGCCCCTCTGGTCATCGGCTGTCCGGGGAGCCCCCGAGGTCGTCGCGGGCTCTCGCCGGAGTTTGTGCAGCTCCTGGGCTGAGGCAGAGCCTGTCGCCTTCGAGGAACAACGGGTTTCTTAAACATGTGAAGCTTATGCAGGAGAAGGCGGCTGAGGCTGGGGCTTGGCCCGTCTGGATGGCCAAGATGGGTTCTGAGGGAGGGAGAGGGCGGTTTAGGCGGGGACAATGGTGGGTTTGAAGGAAATTTGAAATTAGAACGGCGTTTCGGTTGGCGGATGGCGAGGAAAATCGAAGAAGAAAATGAGATTTTGGAGCGGGAAACGGGCGAGGGTCGGAGTCTCGGGGGGCGGGGTGGAAGAAAGGAGAGGATGAGGGAGAGATTGGGAGGGAAGTTGAACCCAACTGAACTGGAGATTGAGGATGTATCGCATATGCACGCCGGGCATGCCGGAGTTCGTGGGAATAGCAGCGGAGAGACCCACTTTAATTTGAGGGTTGTGTCGAAGGAGTTTGAAGGGAAGAGCATGGTGAAGAGGCACAGGCTTGTTTATGATTTGTTGAAAGAGGAGTTGGAAAGTGGATTACATGCTCTTTCGATTGTTGCAAAGACCCCATCAGAAGTTTGAATCTTGTCAGAGGAGGATTCGGTGTCTATGAGGTTCTTTTTTCTTTTCTTTTTCTCTCTTTATGTAGTCTCTTCATTTAGTTTAGATTACATTATCCTCACTTCTTTCTTGTATGAGTCATATCGATACCTTAATGTTTATAGACTGAATAATACTATGATGAATTCAGAATAAACCACTTGTTGAGGCCGTTTTGATGAGACTAGTTGTTGTTCATATGATCTCATTGCAAGGCATTAATATTTTGAAGTCTTATTTGTGTATTTGGCTTGAAGGTGACTGAGCATTCCGATTGTATCGTACACTTCAGCAGTTAAGACTCTCTTGCATCGATGTGATAGTGAAATCCACAGAATGCACTGGAAATGGTCCAGGCTTTCTGTTCATTTATTCTTTTGGCAATTTTATGATTTGTTTGCTGTGCAATGATATCCTCTTGGTTAGGAAAGGAAACAGGATGCTGATCTATATGGGACTTTTTTTTGTCATTTTTATTATTATGCGTCAATCTGTGACTATTAAATTCTCCTCCCCTCCCTTTGATGGCTATCCACATATCTTCTGTCACCCTCTTTTGAGCATGCATGCTGTACAAAACCAACCAAATGATTCTATTGGCTTGTAAAAGTAGTAATAGAAGAGAGAAAGGAAGAAGCCTTAGTTAAAACTTTTGAACTTCATCTCCATAGATTAGGTGTTCTGGTATTTGTATGATGAAGTAGTTTCATGTTAGATAGGATTTTTTTTAGTTTCATGTTAAATAGGATTTTCTCGAGGAGAAAAATCCAATTATTAAGTTATATGCTTGTAGATAGTCTTAGCATATACAACCTTACTTTTATGGATGAGATGTTTAGGTCTGTGGTGACTATACGCGGGATAAAGTGGCTGTAACTAATCGATGCATGAGGAATAAACAAACCAAACTGACATGATAAATGTTTTTTCCCATTTTAAATTACATTATAATTGCAACACGATTAATGGTACAGTGATCCTTTTCGTTGTTGTTGTTGTTGCATGGATGCATATGGACTTAATCTATCATAGAAGCTATAATATGTAGAAACTTCCCCTAATCAAAACTTGTGAAAAAGAAGAAATTTGTTGTCTGCATGTCTTAAAGGAAACCAATTGCTTTGTAGATTATTTACTACTTACCTTAGTTTGCATGTAAGTAAAATCCCTACACTTAGATGCATGTGTACGCACACCCACCCACCCCACCCACACAAGATGTCAAGCACGATAATTATCCAGCGTTAGAATCATATGTATGTTGTTGGGGACATGTATATAAAACTTGGATATAACCAAATAGTGCACTTACGCACACATACACACCAGTCTTATCAATGCGCGACGCGATGTGTGGTGCAAAGTTCCTTTACGCGCACATGTGCAAGACTCGATGCAATGCACATGCCTAAGTGAAGGCACACACCTCAGACATAATTTTTTAAGATAGATGATAAAGAATGAAAGGACATGTTTATGAACTTTCACATAAAAATATGACAAGACAAAAAATATCTAATAACAGATAACACAATAAGGCCTAATTCATAATGCTTATACACCCAAAAATCCAACATAGTAGTGAGGTTCATAATTTTCCAAGTGAAAAGTTAAATCGAGACTAATATTGAAGTAAAATCAAATAGTAAGTGAGAACAAATTGGGGTACGCAATCAATCTAGTAAAATGATCTAATGAGTTTATTTTTCTTTTTGGAGTATGGATTATCGGGTATAAAGACCAAATCAAAATGTTAGAGAAGAAAAATATACTAGGCTATACCATGCATGCGCCCTCTGTGAACCGCCCTCGTGCAAGCACTTGCGAGCCTTTGATAACACTGGTACATGCCCGTGCTCGCTCGGTAACACACACACTATTTGGTTATAGCTATGAGTTTAATAAATATGTATGAACAACGTATATACGCATGTCTATATCTCTAGGTGCTGGAAAATTGTGTCTGACATCCTGTGTCTATTTAGAGGTCGAGATATGCATCCATCCTGTGTCATAAGCTTTGGATTTTTAGTGAGTGTCAGAGTTGAGTTGCTCCAGTAGCCATTTTGAAGAATTTATAATCTTTCTTGATTAATTAGCATGAGAAGATATTGTTGATCTTTTTGGATCTTAATATATCATCAGCTAAGCTTTAGAGTTTAGTTAGCAATACGTATAAAGTATGGCTAAATACCCATATTGGTATTTTAATTCCACCCCATTTACCAAGAATGTATTTTAATTAGGCAAACCTGCTTTAAGGCATTTTAATTGATTCAACTTACCAACAAAGCTATTTTTCTCGTCAGTGACCAATTTTTCGGTGAGGGCTCGTCACGTGCGTGGCACATAATGACTTAAACTATTTTTTAGTTGCTGATGTGGTACGGATCTGTCCTATTTTGGGTGAATTAGGATTTTTAGAGGGTTAATTCCCGCCTTTAAACACTTTCACGTCAGAAAATCCGTGTCACATCAACAGCTAAAAAACAGTTTAAGTCATCACGTGCCACGTGACGAGCTCTCGCCGGAAAACTGGTCGCCGACGAGAAAAAGGACCTTGTTGGTAAGTTGAATCAATTAAAATGACTTAAAGCAGGTTTGCCTAATTAAAATACATTCTTGGTAAATGGGGTGTGATTAAAATACCAATATGGGTATTTAGCCTATAAAGTATTGTATGAATGAAGTTATTGGACATTTTACAGTCATCTAAAAATATATAAGGCTTTTCTAGAAACATTCAAGCATGCATGCTATAGAACCTTATTAATAAATCTTAATTCTGAAAGGCCAAGTCTAAGCCCCTTCAAGTCACCTATTCTAAATAGCAGTTTGGGTGCCTGCCTTGGCAGCCGCTTAAACCTAAGGAGTACCAAAGTCGTCCGTCTAAATCTTGGGAGTGCCTAGGGTAGAACGGGCTGCTTATGTGGACTATACCATGTTAGAAGGGTATATTGATTACTTATAGTAATAGTTAAAGAGAGTAGGCCAGGATAAAATGAACTAGATCAAAACTCTGTCCATCCCAAGTAAAATAGTTAGGATATGATTTGAATCTTCAAAAAAATCATTCCTCTCTCAATGTTAAAAACATCTATGTGCTGCTTAAGCGTTCGCGTAGGCACCTGGGCGCCTCTCGCCTGAAAAGGCGTAGCGTTTTCTAAAAATTGCTATGAAGCATGCTACAAACTTTTATTGTGAAGACATGTCGTGTTAGACATGTCTAGCGTACATGTTGGACATGTCAACTTTTACCATATAATATTATATGTGCTATTTTGGTATATGGTGTATGTCGTTCATCATTATGAATTGTTGTGCCATCTATCTTCATAAGGATGTGCATTTATTTTGTCTTTTATGTTGGACAACTGAAAAGATAAAACACCAAAAGAGATAAAATGAATTCAAAGACTCCCAACACTCCTTCCTCTGAACTCTGCTTTCTGGGGGGGAAAACAAAATCCTCTCTCTCATGCATGGCTTCCCTCTTTTGTACTCTTTTCTTCTCTTCTCCCAAGTCGCAATGTTTAACTGCTGCTTCTTTTTTGCTCTACATTTTCTCTCCAATCTCCTTCCAAGTGCTCACAATCGCTCTACCTTCTTTCTCCAATCTCCTTCCAAGTGCTCACAATCATCTCTCCGTCAGCCCATCAAAGCACAACAAACATCACAAATGTAATTCCAAATCCGATCTGAAATCCTTTCCAAACAGCTACACCAAATTGTGACCCTCTTCCAGTCCCAGCTGTCCCCTACCCTCCCCAGTTCCATATTGATGATTCTCGATCAGCGGCTACATCTCCCATGTCTGGGTTCATGCCGACCCAGATTTGGGTGCCTGCTCCATGGTCCGATTAAGATGTTACTGATTCTTTATTGCCTAAAGAGCTTGCCGCACTTTTTGGTTTTTTAGGCTCTTTTGCAAAATGGCGAGCATTGTTGTAGGGGTCTCATTAGAGTCTGTGTAGCATCTAGGGTGGAAACTTGAAATCACAGGAGAACAATGGATTGTAATTTGTTAAACCTGACCTTCAGAAGGCTGTCAAGGTTGGGAGTTTGAGTTGCAGCGGCCATGCAGAGGTTTTGAAGGTGGAACTGGATGATTTGTGTGGGATGTTGAGTTTGAAAGGAATCAGGATTGAGGCCGATTTGACCGGACAAGATGATTTTTGGAGATGGAAGATGAAACTTTGGCCAACAGATTTATGGGTTTGATGAGGATTCAATGATGAATGGTGGGGTGATTGGTTGGAGAAGGGAGAGGATAAGTGGGAGATTTGAGGAGGACCTATATGCAATGAACTGAAGGTAGAGGATGTATCACATATGCATGCTGTTCAGGGAAATAGAATGGGAGACCTATTTCACTTTGAAGGTTGATCTGGGGGAGTTCAAAGGGAAGAGCATGATGAAGAAACACAAGCTTATTTATGGTTTGTTGTGAGAGGAATTGGAGCATGAGACGAATTGGAGCATGGATTTTGTGCACTCTTGATTGTAGCCAAAACTCCATTGGAACGCAAGAGGAGTGCTCAGTATTTACGTGTCCTTTTTCTTTCTTCTTTTTTGTATTCCAAGCTCTCTTTTGTGTGTGTACTGTTTAGCATGAAAAGCTGCACTTACTCATCTGCTCATCAGACAATATTCTGGTCTGTGTTGTGTGCAGTGTTGTCCTTTTTTGCTATGAAAGGAAATGCAATTTTGGGCAATTTAGTTTTTTTTTTAATGTTAGCCTGCAACGTCCATACCTTCCCTCTTTTGATGATATACGCCGTACAGGATCAACAGGGTAGCTGTGATGCTACATGGCAACTCAATAATCTTCACAGAAGATGAAAGAAACATGCGCAACGTCTTAGCGTAATGGATCTTCTGAGATGGTTAGTTTTTTTAACGTTGAGGATACATGAGGTCTAATGAATCAGGCCATGCCTCGATCGAGGAAGCATGAATCCACCTGATCTAACCACTCAGCGAGGAGGTGCCATTAACAGAAAGGAGGGCCTGTCCAGTGTGTGACATCCTTCGATTGTGAAGTTTCAGTTCAGTTTGAGAAACTGTCGGGTTTCTACTGTTCTTGTGAACATCCACTCTTGCCGGGAGTGAAGTGACGTGTCGATCTCTGGACAAACCGACAGGCACAGATGAATGGTGAGATGGTTGTAATAGCAATTGCAAACCGAAAAGTCTGAGCTGTGATATTTGAAGCATGAGTTTGTCGCTGC